AGTGTTTGTTCAAGGCAAGACAAACTGTCTTGGGAGTCGGATTTTCCCAACAGATGTTCCTTTCTGGGATGCTGAGCAGGGCCAGCTGTAACCTCATACCAAGGCGCTCTGTCAAAGGCAGCTCCAAGGAGCTGAGCAAGGTAGGCGAGTTTCCAAATTCTCAGGACTTGATAGGGAGGTAGAGACAGGAAGATTGTGAATTCCAGGTCTGCCTGGGCTACCTTGAGATCTTGTCTCAAAAAATTAGAGTAGGATGCAGAGAGATGGCTTAGCAGTTGAGAGGCCTTGCTGTACAATTACGAGGAGTTCAAAGCCTAGCACCCACTGACAGTCACATGTGTGACTATAACTCCAGCCCTGAGGGTGGGGGGGGGGGCAGTGGGCAGAGCAAACCTGTCCCTGATGTTTGCAGCCTAGCCAGGAAACCTGGAGTGTCAGGTTCAGGGGTGGAGACGAGGAGGGTTAGGGCAAGAGAGGACTGCAGACTAGTGATTTCCTTCTTTCCTACTAAGGATAGTAGTAGGTGCAGGGCAAGGCAGATAGACACAGAAGTCGAATTTGATCCATAGACACATGTTCTAGGTCAACCTGTAGGTGGAACCCCTTTGGTGGTCAAGGGACCTTTTCACAGGGGTCATCTAACTATTTGGGAAACACAGATACTTACATTATGATTCATGATAGTAGCAGAATTACAGTTATGAAGAACTGAATGGTTGGGGGTCGTGGCAGAGTGAGGAAGGGTGACACTACTGACCTAGGTGAACGAGTACAAGGCAACTGAAAACTCCCTTTGCACAGAGGTCTTTGGAGCTGTGAAGTTATCCAGGGACTTGACAGGACGTCTTGTTCATCAGGACTGCTTCAGTTAGGCAATCTCTTCCCTGACTGTCTGGAACATGACAATCTTTCTCATAAATGTGTTACTGTCAGAGCGAACAAAGCAAGCTATACTTTAGTTTGAGCAACTAGAACACTTAAGATTTTTTCCCCTGGGGCTGAATGTTGCTGATTGGTTAGGAATGCTGCCTGCTCTTGGAGAAGACTGAAATTTGGTTCCCAGCACAATTGCCCCTGACTCTACTAGTTACAGGGGATCTCAGGGCATGGGGGCTCATGTGCACGTATATACAATGAAAAAAATCTTTTTAAAAAGACTTTTTTTCTTGTCATTGTACTAGGGGTTGAACACAGGTACATGCACACTAGGTAAGTGCCCTACAGTTGAGCTATATTGCTAGGAAATGCTCGGGGGGTGGTGTGATTTTTTTTTTTTTCCTTTGAGAAAAGGTCTCATTCAATAAGCTATGCTGGCCTGTACCTCATGATAGCCCAGGTGGCCTATAGCTCATAGCAGCCTTCCTGCCTGTGCCTCCGTAGGCCTAGACTTTGCATCAGCCCACTTCTGCCCTCCTCTCAAGTAGCTGGGATCACACGTGTGCCACCACAGCTGGCAGAACTTTCCCCTGTCTGTCTTTCCATGGCGTAGGTGCACAGCTGTGAGTTCTGCAGTGTAGCTACCGCATGTGGGGACCATTTAGAATATATACATGGCCCTTCCAGCAGCGATGTTTGAAATAGACATGAGTCTGAAACCTGTTGACAGCAGATGCTAGCAGTCTGAGGTAGAAGGGGCCCTTATTTTTACTTGTAAATTGATAAAGTTTGAAGGGGAAATCATCAGGTGGGAGGAAATTTGAAACACTAAGATGACAGTTGAGTAGTCAAATTTCTGAGCTTAATTGCTTGTAAGAAATAAAGAGAAGGAGGTTTTTAAAGCCTTACATGGGCAGAGAAGCAGACAAGCACCTGGAAGAGTAGTGCTTTGCTTTCTTCTTTTTTAAAAAGACATGGTTTCATTTAGCCTAGGCTGGCCTTGAGCTCACTGTGTAGCTAAAGCTGGCCTTGAACTCCTGTCATTACCACCAAAGTGCTAAGATTGCAGGTGTGTGGTACCGTACCGGCTCACTTTTCTTAAACATATCAGTTTGTCTGTGCTAGAGATTGACCCAGGCCTTATCTGTGCTAGGCAAACTGTCTAGCATTGAGCTGCATTACACAGACTTTAGTTGACTTTTAAAAGACCTTGGCCTTGTGGCACAGGCCTGTTATTCTGTCTATTCAAAAAGCCCAATCAAAGCATCCTACAGAGTAAGTTTAAGGACAGCTTGGGCAACATAGGAGGCCCTGTGTCTAAGTGAAAACGAAGATCTGGGGATGTGTTTCAGTGCCTAAAGGGCTTGCTGAAAGTGTGAGGATCTAAGTCAGGACCACTAGAACCCAGATGAAAGTTCCACACATGTCTACAGTCCCAACATTCCTGCTGCAAGATGAGATGCTAGAGACAGTAGAGTCCTCAGAGGCTTTACACAGTGACACACTGTCAAGAAGCAGACACCCAAGATTGTCTTCTCATCTCTAAGCGCATACCATGGCATGAACTAACCTGAAATACATCATATATACATAACACACACACACACACACACACACACAGAGTAGCTCAGTTGGGTAGTAGAGACTTATCTAGCAGGTACAAAGCCATAAGTATAACTCCACTATTGGAAATAAATAAAAGACCTTGGACAAAATACCCAAGAGTAAACACTAAAAGCAAAAAAAGGGCAAATAGGAGTATATTAGATTTTATATAGCAAGAATAAAAGCAACATGGACAACCTACAAAATGGGAGAGAAATTGTCAAACTGTTCATCTGAGAAAAGATTAAAGACTTGTTTTAAAGATTTATTTTTTTGAGCTGGGTGTGGTGGTAGAGGCCTTTAATTTCAGCATTGGGGAAGTAGAGGCAGGAGGATCTTTATTAGTTCAAGGCCAGCCTAGGTGGTATAGTGACTTCCAGGCTAGTCACAGCTACATAATGACATTCTGTCTTAAAAAAAAAAAAAAAAAAAGATTTATTTTTGTTAAAAAATTATGTGTATGTGTGGAGGTCTGTGTACATGCATGCAGATGGTGGCAGCTGGCAGGAGCCAGAGGATTGGATTCTGGTTTCCGTTGGAGCTGTAATTACAAGAAGTTGTGGGGGACAAACTTGGGTCCTCTGCAAGGGCAGTATAGGTTCTTAACTATTACAACTCTCTAAACCCCAACAAAAGATTGATTCCCAGAATTTGTGTGAAACTCATAAGCTTAAGAAAACAATACAATTTAAAAGTGAGCAAGAGGGTCAGGTGTGGTAATCCTCACATTTTGGAGGCAGGAGGGTCAGGGGTTCAATACCAGTCTCAGTTTGAGGCTGGTCTGAGCTACAAGAAATTTCTCTTTCCACAAATGGATGGGGGAAGGGGCTGGAAGTATAATTGAAAATGGGCAGGGTCTGGAGGTGTAGCTCAGTGGTAGAACACATATTTAGGATTAACATGGCCCTGAGATCATTCAAAACAAGTTTCATTCTCATCTATATAGAGAGTTGGAGCCCAGCCTATCCTCCCCCCATGTATGTGTTTGTATGTACACACACATACATTTACATGGTGTAGTGGTATGTGTCTATAATCCCAGCACTCGGGGACAGAGGATTCTGAATTTGAGGCCAAACTGTCTTATGTTCCTGTCTTACTTTTCTATTGCTGTGACAAAACACCAGGACTAAGGCAACTTATAAAAGAAGACATTTAATTGGCCTTTTGGTTTCAGAGTTTAGAGTTGTCTTAGGGTTACTATTGCTGTGATGAAACACCATGACCAAAGCATCTTGGGGATGAGGGGGTTTATTTGGCTTATACTTTCCCATCACTCACTGTTCATCTTGAAAGGAAATCAGGACAGGAACACAAACAGGGCAGGAACCTGGAGGCAGGAGCTGAGGCAGAGGGCATGGAGGGTGCTGCTTGTTAGATTGCTCAATCTGCTCTCGTGTAGAACCCAGGATCAACAGTCCAGAGGTGGCACCACCCACAATGGGCTGGGCCCTCCTACATCAGTCACTAATTAAGAAAATGTCCTATAAACTTGCCTGTAGCCCAGTCTTCTGGAGGCGTTTTCTCAGTTGAACTTCTCTTGTCTCAGATGACTCTAGTGTGTATCAAGTTGGCATAAAAGCAGCCAGCCTAAGAGTCCATGATGGAAAGAACAGCCGAGAGCTCCCATCTTGATCCAAAAGCAGGAAGCAGAGAGACACACACTGGGCATAGTGCAAGTATTTGGAATCCTTAAAAACCGACTGCTAGTGACACAAGACCACCTCCTAATCTTTACCAAGCAGTTCCACCAACTGGGGACCAAATATTCCAACACATAGCCTGCATGTGTGTGTGGGGGGGGCGTTTTCATTCAAACCGCAGAAGTTTCCCCCTTCCCACCCCCCAAAGAGAGAGAGAGAGAGAGAGAGAGAGAGAGAGAGAGAGAGAGAGAGAGAGAGAGAGAGAGAGAGAGAGAGAGAAAAGTTCCAAACATAGTAATGGGAAATTACTTAGCCCAAGAAGAATCAAACCCTGTCATTTGTAGCCAGATAGAAAGTGGGATGGAATTGGAGGGTGTATGCCAAGTGGTGTAAGTCAGACAGAGAGAGACAAATGCCATACTCTCTCTGACGTGGGAGTTTAAAAAATGTTGGTCTTGATGTAGAGCAGTGATCATTAGACACAGGTAATTGGGGGAGGGTGGGGAGCTGTTGGGCAGTGGTCTGCCGAGCGAGTGCCAGGACATCCTCCAAAGCAACACAGAAAGGAAGGCCTTGGTTGCCTGAGACTCACTTTAGGCCTGTGGATTTCTATAGAGCGAGTCTGTTTTTATTTACTTAATTTTTATTACATTTATTTACTTGTGTGTGTGTCTATATGTATGTGGACATGTGTGGGGGTTAGATGACAGCATGTAGAAATCAGTTCTCTCCTACTGTGTGAATGCTGGAATCACAATGGTCATCATACTTGGTAGCAAATGCCACTGCTACCTTGCTGGCCCTTACTTTTATTGATTATATTGACTTTTTTATTATATTGATTATTACTTGAATAATTTTTTTTCTTCTTTAAAGCCTTGATAAACTTGCTGAAGTTCCTTATGTCAAATGAAACTGTACTTTTGGCCAAACACAACATTTTTACATTGGCCCTTATGGTGAGTAGTAATAAAAATATTTGTTCTTTTGAAGCCATTATAGTAAGGCAGAAATGGACTGTTTGTAGTAGGTCTGGCTATTTCCCTTGTGGATCGGTCCTAACCCTGATGACCCTCACTCTTCTGCATGTATTTGGCCTGGGAGGCATTCATTCATTCAGGTCCCATCTCTGAATGCATACTGAGCGTGGTCCCATTGAGAAACTATACTGTGCTGCTGCAGTCTCCCTGGGCTTCCCAGCCACATGAGCAGTTGTGCTGTTGCTGCACTGGTTTCTGAAGGGGACATAGAAGTGCTTATCTGGCTGGTAATTCAGTGGAGAAAGAGGCCACCGAACCATTTAATCGTCTACCCAGCTTGTAAATGTGGAGTGTTTGGTGGGGATAAAAAAGTATCTGCTAACTGTAGGACCATGACAATTTTCAGCTCTCAGCATGACAACAGAGTCATGCCAGCTTGGGATGTGTGGAAGCCTCCTAGTATAAGATAGTCACTCCACACATGTGTAAATTAGTTTTCAGAACATAGATAAGAGTAAGGTAGAGAATAATAAGTAAGGAACACAAAGCTTTGGATGTTATATTTATTTAATATAGTTTGTCAGTTTATATAAATGGATTTTTAATGATGATTATTTTAAGCCAGTTATAAAGTCCCCAAATGTTGTAGTTTTACAAACCAGTAGGAGATGACTGTAGCATCCCATGCTTTTCTGATCTTCACAGCCTGATGCTTGTATATGGGCTATTGTTTCTTTTCCAGATTGTGAACCTATTTAATATGTTTATCACATATGGTGACACATTCCTGCCGACCCCCAGCAGCTACGATGAGCTTTACTATGAAATTATCCGAATGCACCAGAGCTTTGACAATCTCTACTCCATGGGTAAGGGCTTTCTTTCTTTTTCTTCTTCCTCTGTGCCTTGTCTGTTTCATAAGTAACAGGAAAATGCTAGAAGACTGTCTAGTTGGATGTATAGAAGTAAACAGATCATAGCCAAGATTGGTGGCACATGACTTTATTTAACCCCTCGCTCATTATCTCTGTAAATTTGAGCCTAGCCTGGTCTGAAAAGTGAGCTTTTGGACAGCCAAAGCTACATAGAAATGCCTTGTCCCAAAAACAATAAACAAACTCCTCTCCTCTCCTCAGGCAACAGGAAGAGCTATGTGTATGTGAGCCTTCTGCCTTTAGGAACTTGGATTTCATGTCATTGGAAAGCTGTATAGCTAGCTGCCTTTGTTGATGTGAACCTGAGTTTGATCCCCAGAACACATGTACTAGCTGGGCCTAGTGACAAACGCTATGGGAAGTAGAAGCTGGCAGAGCTCTGGGCTTTCCTGGCCATCTAGCCTAGCCTGATGGGTGAGTTTCAGGCCAGTGAAAGACCCTCTCTCAAGAAAAGAGGTGGGAGCCCAGTGGTGGTGCACACACTTTTAATCTCAGCACTCGGGAGGCAGAGGTAGGTGGATCTCTGAGTTCAAGGCCAGTTCCTAAACAGCCAGAATTATACAGAGAAACCCTGTCGTGAAAAACCAAAACACAGACACATACACACCAACCCAAAAACAAAACCCCAAAACAAAGGTGGGAGGACCCTTAAGGAATGACATGCTAGATTGTGCTCTCTGACATGAACATTTTCCCACACACACCCACATTGACCTCCACACCCATGAACATTGCACACACAGGAAAGAGCCAAGTAGGGATTAGTAGCAAATAGAAGAGCATGTGTCCCAGAGGTACAGGAGTTTCAGAAGTCCAGTGTACCTGGGTATTTTCAGTAAACTTACATAAAGAAGTAGGAATTAGATAAAATCACTTTGATTAGATAAAATCACTTTGGTTAGATAAAATTACTTTGATGATTGACTCACTAAAAATTTATTCCACATAAGTTTAACTTATTACTAGAGGAGGTGGTGCATTCCTGAAAATTTGGAGAAAAAAAACCTAGTGAATCCTATCTACAGTTTGAAAGACACAGAAAGATCTTCCTATGTTGCACAGAAATAAAAGCCACTCAGAAAAGGCATTTTACTTTTTAAAATCTCAGCTTACTAAGTTGATTGAGGTTTAAGATGGTAGATTTGGGTAATGTTGACACAGTGTGTGAAACTGTCCCAGTGATTAGGATAATGATGAACCTGTGACTGGAGAATGAATGCCTGATACTGAGACCCTGCTCCTGTCTTACATACCTCCCTAGTGCTGGGATTAAAGGCGTCTGATCCCAGCTGCTGAGGTCATCTTTGTGTGAGCTGTTTCTCTTTAGGACTGGGTCACTCTTGTGTAGATCTGGGTGGCCTTGGCCTTGGATTCACAGAGATCCGTCTATCTCTTAATCCTGAGTCCTAGGATTAAAGGTGTGTACCACCACCTCCTTGCTTCTGGCTGCTGGGATTGAAAGCATGTACCTGGCTTCTATGACTTGTGGCTGACTGTGCTTTCTGGATCCTCAGACAAACTTTTAATAAATTACAAATAATATATCACCACAGTGGTAGAGCATGAAACTCTTAATCTCAGAGTCATGGGTTTGTGTCCCAGGTTGGATACCACATATAGCATGAAAAATAAAATGACCCGGAGACAGATACTGGGGTTCAAATGAATACCAGAAAAGCAAAGCCGCCTGGCACTAGCTCTCTCTCATCTACCTCAGACTGAAAGGGCTGATCTATGAGCTCTTCACCAAGCCTCAGACTGCTGCCTCTCCTCAGCATGGCTGGAGAATCCTGAGACTTCAGTGTCTTCTTATCCTCAATGTGGCTGGAGAATGAATGCCTGATACTCACTTTGTTCCTGTCTTTATACCTCTTATGAGTCCTGGGATTAAAGGTGTGAGTGAGCTCTAATTCTCTTTAGACTGATTCACTCTAATGTTTCCCTGGGTGGCCTTGAACTCAGAGAGATCCATCTGCCTTTATTTCCTAAATCCTGGGATTAAAGGTGCATGCTATCACCTCCTGACCCCTAAAATTTGTGGCTGACTTTGCTTTCTGAAACCTCAGGTATGCTTTAATAAGTCATAAATAATATATTATCACATCCCTGGCTTGTTATGTGTGTGCTGGGAGGTCAACTCTGGTCTTCAAGATTGCATAGCAGCTGCTCTGAGAAATTACTGGCCTTTCTTCCCTCAAGCCTTGGAAGAGGCTACTGATCTCATATAGCATACTTTCCAGGACAGTGCTCAATGTCATATTAATAAATACACAGCACAACAAAATCCAGCATCTGTGCTGTAAAATCATGTTTACACCTAAACCAGGAGGGAGTTAAAGCATTGGACCAGTCAGTAGTTGCTAGCATTGCAAAGATCCAGATGTGTCAGGACACATCAGCTGCTCAGCATTGGTCCAGTGTCCTCTTCTCACACACACACACACACACACACACACACACACACACACCCTTAAAAAATAAACTTTTTTTAGCCCAGCAGCGGCACACACCTTTAATCCCAGCATTTAGAAGGCAGAGGCAGGCAGATTTCTGTGAGTTCAAGATTAGCCTGGTCTCTAAACTACTTTCAGGCAGTACAGCTGGTTTTGTTTCTGGCAGCTGGTCTGGTCTCTGGTGTTTTCCATAGCTTGGCCCATCTAAGAGACCTTTTTGTAGTTGCCTTTTGTCTAAGTGACTCTCAGGAGCTTGGCTTGTTTGCTCTTTCAGGGAGGGGTCTAGTGAGTCTGGTCCGTTTCAGGGACTTCCTGAAGCCCTTTTGAGTTGTCTCCCTTCCTGCTTGAGGAGCTTCCTGAATGATGGAATGCTTGAATCTTGGAGGAAACTGTTACATAACACCTATCTGTATGCTATACTACATATAAGCTTTGTCCAGTGCCTGACATTTTGTAAACACTCCACATTTTGATGTCTGTGACCGAACATTATTTAAGAACATACTTAGGGTCTGGGAAGTTGGTTCAATAGGTAAAGTGCTTATTACATAAGCATGAAGACCCGAGTCAACTGTACCCACATTAAAAAGCCAGGTGTGACTGCATGTGCTGTAATCTCATGTGGGGGAGATGGAGATGGGAGGATCCAGAAGCTTGTCTTGCCACTAGTCTAGTCAATCAGTGCCTTCCAGGCTTAGTTAGAAACCCTATGTCAAAAAAACAGGTGGAGGGTCCAGCTAGATGGCCCAGCAGGTAAAGGTGCCTGTCTCTAAGCCTGATAACTAAATTCAATCCCTGTGACCCAGAGGTCAATGCCAGGTCATTCCTCAGCAGCTGTGCACCTCATCGTTTTAGACAGGTCCTCTCGTTGACCTGGGGTTTGCCAACAAGGCTAAGCTGGCTAGCCAGCAGCAAGCCCCAGGGGTCCACCTGTCTTTTACTCACTGGGATTACTGGGTGCTGGGATTACAAGTGTGTGCCACCACATCACATCACATCACATGGGCTTGGGGATCACATCACATCACATGGGCTTGGGGTCTTAACTCGGGTTTGTGGCCAGATGAGCTGTTGCTTCACCTTCGTGTATTAAATGAATATAGAAACTAAGTTTTGAGGCCCATTATCAGGGGAGGCCTAGCAAAAGTGAAGGCATAGAAAAAGTTGATGGAAAGTGAGCAGTTAGAGAAAGAAACAATCCTGGAGGAAGTAGTTGAACTCTTCTATAAGCCCTTATTTGTTGATTGTTTTAAAACAGAAGAGCGGCACTGGCTCTGTGTTTTGTGTCAAGCGCTTGACAGATCTATTCTTTCCCTCCACAGTCCTTAGGCTTTCTACCAACGCAGGCCAGTGGAAGGAAGCAGCTAGCAAGGTGACACATGCATTGGTTAATATCAGGTAAGGAACGATGATTTCTTCCAGAGTTCTTGCTCCTCCTGAGGTTTATTGCACCTTCCCAAGGAGAATGCTGTGAACACCACTACTATTTTAAGCCCTGATGTCTGTAGGAGTGGAAGAAATTGTCATACTTGATCAAGAAAAGCAGGAGTACATGAGGCTTTCATTTTGTCATATTGAAATAGCTCAAAGTGCTGGCTTTCCTGTGAGTTTTCTGCCCAAGAGATAGTTGCATGCCCTTTGCAGGCACCTTAGCTGCCAAAGTGTTCTTTATGCATGAGCTCTCTCAGCCTCCTTCCCCTGAAGGGTTCCTCTGCTCTTTACCATGGTTTATCGTGGGGATCTAGAACCTTTGCATTTTATTGTAAATAGATATTTCTATTTATGGTAAACACAGGCAAACAAAAGCCCTGGGACCAAGTCATTTCTAGTTCCTTATGAAATAGCAAAAAACGATGCTGTGTATAGTGGGTAAACTGTGTCAGATGGGGGTGGGGTGGGGGGTCGCGGGGTCAGGAGGAAGCAGTACTCACAGGAGGGAAGGGCTTCAGGGTGAGAGCTCTGTTTGTCTTTCTCCCTTGTTTTCTCCCTTTGTGCCTATGATTTTCCTTTTTCTCACCAGTTATTAAATTGTTTTTGCAAACAATTAAGAAGTTAACATTGAATAAAAGAGGCAAAGCCAGCAGATGGGAACTTGATTTAGCTCCAGATGTAAGGCTTGCCAGATACTCCAGTAATAGTGATGCATATTTACAACTTCGTATAGATTCTGATGCGTGAGAGAGCAGCGGTGTGATGTTTATTCCAAGCTTTCTTTCTTTTAAACTAAACTGTTGTCTCTGAAATGATTTACTACAGTGTGTGTCACATCTGGGAATAAAAGGGAAGCTGTGAACTGTGTGTTAGGTGGGTTGGCACGAGGGAGCATGGGGTGAGATGTGCTACAAGACTGCAGTGAAGCTCGGACCGCGTACTGCCTCCAGAGACATTTTGCAGCAAACACACTTTATAAATGCATATCTGCACCTAGCAAGCAATCAAGACACTCGTGGGTCCTTCCGATAAGTGTAAGTTTCTAAAGGAATTTGGTGTTGGCGTTATAGACTCTTTTCCCAAGATGCCCTTGTGGCCCAAGGGCAGTATGACAGACATGGATGTCTGAACGAACCATCAGGTTTGGGGCTAGAGCCTGAAGTAGATAAGAAAATGTGTGATATGTTTATGGATCGCACATTTACACAGGCTCTCCAGGCTCTCCTTTTCATCTGGGGTCTATTTACTTTGTCCTCTGTTTTGTTGGTTTTGCTATCAATGGTTTCTGCCTTGGCAGCTACCCTTACTCTTCCCAAGGGCCACCAGGCAGATGATTTAAATTTTTCTGCCTTCCCCGAACAACTGAAAGAGCTGGGCTGAGCCTTGAAAAGATGCCAGTCACCATGGCCACTTCCTTGTCTCTGCGTGACTGCCAGAGCTTTTTTCCTTTTCAGTTCTCAAACTGGGCTTCCTGCAGAGAGTAAGCACATCACTTTCACTGTGCTAATTGAGTATTTGACTGAAGGAGCAAGGACCCATTCAACTTCCTCAAGAGGTTACTGGGAAGAGGTGTTTGAATCTTGTCACACTAAATCCAGACCAGGGACACATACTGATGAGACTAAGAGCAGTTTACCATTGCTCCTTTCGGACATCTCTTTTCACTTACTAAATGCCAGGCTTGGGGTGCTCTTCTGTGTGCCATCGTCTCTCATCTTTTAACCTTTAAACGCTGGCATATGCTATCTGCTTCTTTTTTTGCTTTTGTTCTTTTTTATGTTTGTTTGTTTTTCGAGACAGGATTTCTCTGTGGCTTTGGAGCCTGTCCTGGAACTCGCTCTGTAGACCAGGCTAGACTTGAACTCACAGAGATCAGCCCGTCTCTGCTTCCAGAATACTGTGATTAAAGGTGTGTATCACCACCGCCTAGCTATTTCTCTGTCCTTGAATGTTAGAATGTTTTGGTTTTCCTTGAGGATGGACCTTGATGGCTTTGGATGAGCATGATCAAGGCAGTTGATTCATTCAGGATTCTCTTACCTGACAGAGAAAGCAGCATGGCTGAGCCAGGCTTCCTTCTGCCTCTTTGGCTTTCTCTTAAGCTTGTGTTGTGTATCTGTGGCCTTGGGTGGGTGAGAAAACAGAAGTGTGTGTCAGAGAATTCTGAGGGATGCTGTGGGGCAAAGGCTTAGCAGGACAATTGTGGTGGTGTGCACAATTTCAGCTATTTCTAAAGGTTGTTTGTGCTGATGTGCATATAAGAAGGGTTTCTAAGGCATCATGAACAGTCCCTTGTCACCTGTCCTGTGCTCTGTGATATCCTGGGATGAGATAAGTTGGAGGTAAGCTTTCCAGTGTTCCAGTTGGAAGGTGTCTAACCAGCAGATGAGAGGGTAAAGCTGTGTCTTTGGATCTCCGGGCCTGTGGTAAATCTAATGACCACCCTCAGAGCCTCTGCAGCAGATGGAGAGCAGCCGACCTTTCGTTCTTTGGAGCTTCAAGTGTCCTGTCAGTCTCTGCTTTCCACTGGCTTTTGTGGCTTAGTCAGGCTGCTGCTTCCGTGATCAAAGTTATTTGTGTTTAAACAACCCTTTCTTCCTGTTTGATCCCTAGCACGTTTTGAAAACACAGCTGCAGCTATTTTAATTGGAACACCTGATGTCACCAATGAACAGAGCCCATGTTCATTCCTCCCCTGGGAACTGTTGTGTCCTTTTGTAAGAAAAGTAAGATACATTGTGGTGCCTATGAGGTTGATTTAGAGGGCTTGCCTCCATTTCCCTATACATTCTGTGGTACTGGTTTGTTCATATGAGACAGATCTCAGTATCCCAGGCTGGCCTTGAACTTGTTTTGTACTCAAGACTGGTTTTGAATTGCTGATCTTCATGCTGCTACCTGCCAAGTGCTAGTAGCTGAGGCTGATTTTGAACTTACTGAGTAGTCCAGGCTGGTCTGAAACATATGATTTTTCCTGCTTCCATTTCTCTCTGGTACTGAATTTGCAGGTGCACATCACCACCCCTGGCCTAGGAATCCCTCTGTTAATGGAGGCAGAGTGAGAACTGGGAAGGAAATGTGAGGTCATGGTCTTCCCAAGTCTCCCAGCTCTTTGTTCATGAACCTGTTTGGAGATTCTTTTAGTAAGTGGACACTGATGAATGGGAGGAGTTGCAGTTTGATGTTCAGGTACTTCAGCAAAAGGATGCAACGTAGTTGACTGCGAAATGAATTTAGACTAAAGTATAAACTAAAATACAGACTAAAGAAAAAGATATAAGCAGGGCACTGAACTGATGACATAAATAGGAGACCCTAACTTCTGGTTGTCTGCCTTGGGCTTAGATTATTATCACATGAGTTAAAATTGATCAATAATAATTCTACTTGGGCAAGAGAGATAGCTCAGCCATTAAAGTCTAGGCTCACAACCAAAAATAATAGCCCTACTTTTGTTAGTCAGAGCATGGTCTACCATTAGAATGAGAAGCGTTATACGTATTACAATAAAGCCTAAAGTGAAGCCACAGTAATATTGTTCACTTGGTGACTGGAAGCGTTATTTATTTCATGTTATTTATTTGATATCTCCCAGTCTCCTAAGACTATAGCTAGAAACAAACCAAGCACTGAATCCCATATGGTCAATTTGGTTTACACTGCAAAGTGAGGTTTGCATAAGGTCATAGCAATGGTTGGTGAACTGTAGTGCAGTTAAGAATCTTGGTTTAGGAAATTTGGGTATTTGTAACAAAATATTAAGTTTTTTATCTGGGTCTTTAAAGATTTGTAGGTGAGGGTGATTTTAGCATACCCCTCTTAAATCCAACTTACTTTGTTTCCTTTGCGTCGTCATCAATCATTGTCACCCTTACCATCACCATCCTCATGTGTATGGGTGTTTTGTCTGCATGTATGTCTGTGCATCATGTGTGTCCCATGCCCTAGGAGGTCAGAAGAGGGCATCAGATTGATAGTTGTGAGCTACCGTGTAGGTGCTGGGAATTAAACCCAAATCCTCTGGGAGAGCAGCCAGTGGTCCTAACTGGTGAGACATGTCTTCAACTGAGATTTTAATTACTTTTAACCATATAATTCCTTGACATTAAGTTTATTTACATTGTTGTGCAGCCATTACCACCATCTATATCCAGAACTTTGTGTTCATGAGTGATGCTGAGGATTCAAGGTAGAGCCTTGTACACACACACATTAGACATGGACCTTTCCAGTTTGCTGGACTCCTAACCGAAACTAGGTACTCAGTAAATTCCACCTTCCCCCCAACCCTAACCTCTAGCACCTGGCAACCAGCATTCTGTTTTCTGATTTTATAGTTTGACTACCCTGAGCTTCATATCAGAATCATATTTGCCCTTTGTGACTGGCTTAGTTCAGGTGATGTGCCATCTTCAGGCTTCAGCATGTGTAGTGTGTGTCAGCATTTCCTCTGAGCTGAACGCTGTTCCCTTGTATCATCATGGTCTTTGCTCTGCTATCATGTTGGATGCTTTTTTACCTTTGGATGCTGTGAATGATGCTTATATGAATAGGACTGTACATAAACTCTTCAATATCTTGATTCAGAAGTGGAATTACTACAACATATGATAATTTATGTGTAACATTTGGAGAACTTGCCAGCCACTTCTCAAAGTGGCTGTGCTATTTTGCATTATAATTTTTACACATTCTTGCTAATACTTTTCTCTTTTTTTGTACTAGCCATCTTAATGGGTGTGAAGATGTATCTCATTATAGTTTTAATTTACATTTCTCTAATGACTAATAATAATGTTGAACATTTTTTCAATTTTTTTCCTAGACATTTATATCTCTTCCTTGGAAAAATATCTATTCAATTTCTGCACCCACCCCTTCCTCCCCTCCTCCCCCTTCCATCCTTCCCTCCCTCTCCTTCCCCTTCCTCTTCCCTTTCCCCTTCTTCCTTCCTTCCTTCTTTGGAG